TATATATATATATATATATGTCTATTAAACGGTACAACGATGGTATGGGAGACAGAGATATGGGCACATGCAAATGTGATCGTATCAATACATATATATGTTACCAAAAATTTGGAATGTTATAGGAAGGGAGCAACACACATAAATAAAGTTAAAAAATTAATAAATTACAAAGTAAAATTATTTAATTTTATACTTTAAACCTATTATCATATCAAACCTAATTCGACAATAAATACTTCAAATATATTAGAAATGAATGATTTTAATTATCTGTAGGAAAAGGCTGGTTAAGGAACTTTTCAATTTTTGAGGGTTATATCTTTGACGAGATACTAGTTGTAATCATTTTATGTATCGTTAAAAAAAATCGGGGTTTCCCCCAATTACGAGGAACGAGGAAAATTTCTTCTTCAATTTTTTTTTTAATATTTAGAAAATATCTTTTACTTTATTTAACCCTTAAACAGTCGCGTCGGGGTCTAGCATACCCCCACATAAATAAAAACTGATATATTATGTTGCATAAAAGGTGTACATAGATATAAATTTAGAAGATGGTTTTTATAGTAATATTGAATCGATTTTCATAAATAAATCCCTTCGAAAAAAATATGTATGACTTAAAATATCCATCAAAGTTGAAATGGGTCATATTGACCCCCACGCGACTTGTAACGTTATAATTTTTTTTTGGACTTGTATTTTTTTTCAAAATATCGTTTTATTGTAAATGCAATGTTATAATCGATATAATATTGTAAAATTGGAATTATGTGGATCTGCCACCGACTGTGCAATTAAGTTTTAAAAATAATCTATTGAGAATTTCCACTACTCGATGATACGGAACAAATAAGAACAAACCATGTAATAAATACACCGCGTATACTAAACAGTATGTATAGATTGTTGGGAGAAATATCAATGTTCAATAGATTTAGAATAATTGTATATAATCGTGTCATAATAATTAAATGTATTGTAATATTAATAATAAAAAAATTCAATTAAGAAAATTGATTATACAGGGTGATTTTTTTATCATAACCCACTCAATTACTTGCAGAATAATAATAATTTAAACATTTTTTTTTTTATTATCTTTAGTTACATATTATTCTTGAATTTTTAATTATGTAATACTTTTTAAGTTCATCCCTTATGCTTGGTAAGGAAGTCAACTTTGTTTTTTTAAATGGTAACACATATTTTTAATTTAATAAAATGTTTGAGTTTTTAATTTAATAGTAAATGGCATTTGAATTTTTAATATAACTTAATTCGTTTATTAGATATAATCATTTAAAGTTTCAAATTTTTGAGTTAATATACAGGTATAATACACAAGGGATTACAAATACAGGTAGCTAATTGGTTTTTTATAACATCGATATTAGCAGGTACACAGCATTGTTATTATCAATGATAGTAAGGCACATTGTTAAGAGTTTATAAATACACTAACTGACAATACAGAAAGTATATCAATTGATAATCATAATTGATAATAAACAATCCGTGACTGAGACAGCAATGTCATAAAAATCCAATTAACTACCTGTATTTACAATCCCATGTGTATTATACATGTATATTAACTCAAAATTTTGAAACTTTAAATGTTTATATCTAATAAGTTAATAAAGTTATATTAAAAATTCAAATGCCATTTACTATTAAATTAAAAACTCAAACATTTTATTAAATTAAAAATATGTGTTACCATTTAAAAAAACAAAGTTGACACCCTTACCAGGCATAAGGGATGAACTTAAAAAGTATAACATAGTTAATAATTCAAGAATAATGTATAACTAAAGATAATAAAAAAAAAAAATGTTTAAATTATTATTATTCTGCAAGTAATTGAGTGGGTTATGATAAAAAAATCACCCTGTATCAATATATAAATACATATATAGCTAATAAATATAAGCCGTGTTTGAGTTCAAAGAAATACAAGACAATTTAATAATAATACATTTTGTAATAGTAAAAACTTCTTAATCTTAAAAATAAGATTTTGCAGTTAAAATAATTTTTTTACAAACCAAAATTTTTTAATGAAATTTTGAAAATTAAGTTTTTTTTTTTTCGTAATATAACTTTTGGTAATGCGCATAATTTTGTCATTTATTTATTTTTTAATTTTAATTTTTTAATTTTTTAATTTTTATCCATATTTATATATCATATGGTAACAAATAATGTCTTTGAATTTAAAAAAAATGAACTTTTTCATACATATTTTATACTTTTTTAGAAATCGGGTCTAATAGACCCCCACGGACTATGAACGTTAAAAATAGGTACGCGCATGCTTAAGGGTTAATTTTTATAAAGATACTTAATAAATACCAAACTACTTTTAGAACCTTTTTAATTTATTTCTTCACAGTTTTATTTTTTAATATTAGCATATAACATATTTTATTTACATTATATGTTTTTTAGTATTCTAAAAATATAATCATTTAATAGCTCTATAGAAATTTTTAATAAAATAATCAAATAAGATAAATCAAGGTAATATATTATTAGTTCAATTTATAAAGTTTTTAAAAATAAAATTGATTTATAATTTTTTGTAAAAACTAAATTGGTAATTATAATTTAAATAGGCAGAAAAATGTTACGAATTATTTTTTTGTAAGTCTTTAATATTTATAAATATTTTTAGATAATTAAAAAAATGTTTAAAAGTCGATTTCATTTGTTGAACTTGATAAGATATTTTTGCGTAATTCTTATATCAGCACAATTATTTTTCAATACAAATGCCAGCCCAGAAATCCAAGTAAGTGCAAACAATATTTCAAATTGCTTAACATTTATGAATTCTTAACAAATTAGTATATTCTAATATTACAAGAGTTTATTCAAACCACAGAATAGACAAATATAAATAAAAATATGTTCTGAATAAAAATGAACATAAATAAAAGGTAATTGACCAAGGTTAAAAATAAAGGCGTGGTGACCGGGTAAGTAATATACTACTTCTTAGCTACTGTCCAAATAATGTAAATGATAATTTCGTCATCCTTTGTATAAAGGTATAAAGGTGGACGTAGATCATTTTATGAGGTATGTTGGAAACCAACAATTGAAAATTTATTTAATGTTTTCTAAAAGTTAATTCAGTTATTTTTTATAAAATAATAATAACTAACTAGAAAAAGGTTTTTGAAAAGAAGAAAGGAATCTAATTTACTTTCCCCTCCTTAATCCAGTTAAGAGACTCATCGATCTTTGTTTCACAATGTCATTACTAAAAAATAGTCATTAATATAATCCAATCTTTTTAGCTTCGATGCGAAGCGGAGAAGGTATTAATTTTACTATGATGTGTTTTTTTTTTTTTTATGTCTGTTGCCACTTTTTCTCAGCTCTCACTGGACCGATTTCTTTGAAAANTACTCAAAGAAATCTCTCAGATTTCTTTAAAATTCAATAAAAACTTTACACTGCTTGTTTTATTATCATTACTATTATTTTTTGACGATAACTTACAAATTAATTTCAGCCACTTGATTGTAACCCTATATTTGACGATTCATTTTTACAGGTCGTAAGTACTATTAATAATGATATAAAATCATTGGTCTTTCAAAAAAATCGAACATTTGTTCATCATTCGCAAATAAATCAGGATGACATAGTGTAAATACAAAAGAACCCAATGATAAAGATATCAATGACTGCCTGTAGAAAAATGGGATGTTTTTTATTTGTTTTACAAAATATGTTTTGGTACTTAGATCACTTAGATAAACGACTCATTTTAGCGTAATGAATCAAAAATAATAATAAAAATAAAAATAAAAATAATAAAAACCAGCACAGGGGGGTCGCGGCACAGTGGTGACGCGGCATAGTTGGATCAAGTATAATGATATCTGACAGTGATTAAAATCACTATCAAAAATAAACGCTTCGAAGCAAATCTTTAGATTGTGTTTAATTTTAAAAAAATTGGAGGATTATTCCAAAAGCTACATAATCTGCTAGTTCCTTATTAATATCCTGATTAAGATAAAGTATGTCGAATGAAAAAGGGATTATTAAAAAATATTATTTCTCATAACAAAATTGTGTTGATCCATACACTTTTCAATAAGTTATAGCATTATAAAGTAAAAAATGTAAATTATAAAATCGAGAATTTTCACACAAAAATTGAATTCAGTAGCCATTTTCACCACGAAGACAAGTCCATAGGTCAAATTTTTTTTTTCAAATTAAAGTATATTACATTAACTTTAATTTAAGATATAGATAAAAGTTTCAGACATTCCGGAACATTTTCAAAAGTTAAGTTGAAAAAGTTAATTTTTTGTAAAAGAGTTGTCATTTTAAATCCCCTCCTGTGGGCAGATAAAGGGTCAGATTTACAAAAAAAATATACCAAATGATAGGAAAAGACATCAAGCATCCATATAAAAAAAAAATTATACTCATATATTTATTTTTGAAAAAGTCACGGCAGTTTTTAAATGATAGGTAAATATCTAAGGTATCTATAAAAAAAAAGTATATTGATTCGATCATTTTTTAAAAATTTATGGCAATTTTAAGTAAAAAAAATTTAAAAAATTTCGAAAATAAGCGATTTTTAAATTTGTAATTTTTTTGGAGGTTTCCCCCATTTACGNGTTATGGCAATTTTAAGTAAAAGAAATTGAAAAAATTTCGAAAATAAGCGATTTTTAAATTTGTAATTTTTTTGGAGGTTTCCCCCATTTACGAAGAACGAGGGAAATTTTTTAAATTTTGAAGGGTAAAGTCTTCGACTATATACGATTTATAATCTTTTGACATATCGCTGAAAGAAATCCGTTCGGTGAGAGCTGAGAAAAAGTGGTAACAGACACAAAAAAAAAAGCTTCGCATTGAAGCTAAAAATTGGTGGATTATTCCAAAAGCTGCATGATCTGCTATTTTCTTATTAATATCCTAAATGAAAAAGGTATTATTAAAAATTATTATTTCTCATAAAAAAATTGTGTTGATCCATACATTTTTTAATAAGTTATAGCATTATAAAAATAAAAATTAAATTAATAAAATCGAGAATTTTCATACAAAAATAGCCATTTTCACCATGAAGACAAAATAAAGTCCGAAATTTTTTTTTTTTGCATAACTAAGTACATTACATTAGCTTTAATTTTAGATATATATAAAAGTGTCAGTATTTCTGGAACACATTAAAAAATTAAGTTGAAAAAGATCTACTTTCTATATGTATTTTTATGTTTTGAACCCCCCTGTAATAAGGGAAATGGTCTGATTTAAAAAAAAAAGAATGTCAAATTTAAGAAGTATATAAATATTAATACTCATAAAAAAATTGTATTGATCCATACATTATTCAAAGATTTATAGCGTTATAAAGTTAAAAATGTAAAATGTAAAATCGAGAATTAATTTTTTTTATGTTCTTTGAATAAGTATTTTATTTTGAGAGAATATATTTTATTGAGAGATCGATACCCATATTTCTTAAATCTTCCTCTGGACTGGCGAAAACAAGATTCAAAAATATTTATATCTATGTAAAAATTTTATCATGTGGCCGACTTCAAGTAGTTTGGATTAAGGTGAAGAAAAAGAAGATGTAAAAAATTTATCCAGGTGGTATTGTGGTGGCTCAATGTGTTCCGGCGCTAGCGCCTTGAAATGATATGACACAATAATCACCAAAACAAAGATTAAAAACTGTAAATGTACTCCTAAGTTTCTCTGCAATGTCTGCCGGCGCGATTTTTGTTAAAGCAAAGACATTAGCGACGAGAAAGCCTACCCAATAAGAAAAGCTCACATTAAATTTTTAATATAAAATAAAAAATTTAAAGTTGGGTTGGATTTATTATTAAAATATTACAATTAAAAAACAATTAATGTTTAAAATATTATTTGATATTTATTTCCACAATAAGAAAAATTAAACATTATTATTTAATGAACAAATTAACTTAAATTAAAAGGTTCACCAAAACAAAATTCACTTTAAAATTTCTAATTGTCATTTAGTTTTAATAAATAATATTCTAAGTCTGAAAACTTAGAAAAAAGGACTAAGTTTTTTAAATTGAAAAATATTCCAAATTAAATAAAAAAACGACTTAGTCTCAGAGAGTGAAATCTTGAGAAGTGTCGTAGAATTTGTGTATTTTAATAGTCAGCAAGAGATAATATAACGATCCCTTGGATGATCATGGAAGCTGAGGCTTATTATTCTAATCGGATAATTATAATGAGGGCCCTGGGTGTAGGCATTACTTAAAAATCTCTACAATAATTGTATTTTATCCCATAATAATCTGGTTGTTTTATATTTTAAATAAGAGAACCCTGTTTTGTTGATCTTGTATAATCAAAATGTGTGACATACATGTACAAATAATAACATCTTATTATATGTAAATATTATAAGTAATAATATAATATTACATTAGATTCAATTTAAACTTTAGATGGCTTGTTATATAATAATTACTTTTATTTTTTGAAGATAACATACTTACAACTTGATTTCAGCCACCTGATTATGACACAATATTTGACGATTCGTTTTTACAAGTTATAAGTACTATTAATAGTGATATCAAATCATTAGTNAAGTTATAAGTACTATTAATAATGATATAAAATCATTAGTATGTGGAAAAAATCAAGGATTTATTAATCATTCGCAAATAAATTATGATGACATGTTGTTATTATCAAGATCTTGTAAAGACGATTACGAGTGTAGACAAAAAAAAGAATCAAGCTTAAACAAATTAAAAAAAGAATTAGAGTCTTTAGAGTGTTTTCACACATTTTTATGTCTTCAAATTATAGAATTATTAAAATTTAATATTAGGACTACAAATTTCAATCCAAATCATATTTTCAAAATAGAGTTTCCACATGTATCTGAATACGTAGTTAGGATGATTTCCTTTTTCATTTATGGCAAGTTTGTTGTTAATCCTTGGCAATATAATTTAGCAAAACAACTTATTGATATAGTAAGACTCGAAGAACATCAAAAAAAGGATACAGAGGATATCATTTTAGCACAATTAAATGATGCTGCATTACTATCTTCAATGAATGAATTTTGCGATAATTGTAAATTAAATAATGAATTTTTGAAATCAATTATTTCATTCAGATTTAATACTTTCAATAGAGAAATTAGGCAATTTAAATATCAAAAAAGTTTAAAAAATTATGTGAAGAATATTTTGTCAAAGACAAGAATTACTTGTGTAACAAAAATGGACATAAGTTCTTATGCACATATTAATAAAGGTAATCAACATGATGTACTCTTAAAATGTTCAGATTAAAAACTTTCTTAAATATTAGTAATATATGGTTAATAAACATGAAAATTAATAATATTACAATTAACACTTTATCATCAACGCGATGTTTCGATTTTTTTTTTTATTTTGTTTATTGCCAGTTTTTTTAAATTCTTACCGTATTGATTTTTTAACGATACATCAAAAATACAAATCGTATGCAATTGAAGACATATTCCTCAAAAACTGATATTATTACTACGAGCTTCAAGTATATGTTAAATTAAAGTTTTGGTTGCATATTTTAAATTAAAAAATTTTCCGACGACTTATATTTATGAATAAATGGATGACCTAATTAATAATAATGCAATTTTTGTGTTAAAAGTTTTGATATTCGATTTAATATTTTGATCTTTAAATTTCTATATCTTTTTAAAAATTGTATATGCATAAGTACTTAAAAAAAAATAAAGCTCATAACTTTTAATAAAATTTTCAGAGTACCTTTAGAATTTCTATGGTCAAGCCTAGTAAATATTTCAGGTTCTAAATCGAAAAAATTAGCATTGTAGTCAATACATTTTATATGCTCACAGAGTGCTAAAATTTTTTTTCTCAGCTTCGAGATTAACTTTCCAACATTTTACTGAATTTCTACATTCTTTAATAATATGTACCCACTGTGCTGGTTTTTTTTTTATTTCTTTCATCAGTTGTTTTAGTGAACTAAATAATGCATCTGTTCTATAGTCCGGCTTATAGTTAATAATATTTTCATTTTTTTTATTATCATGTATGCTACTTACATATTGATTAACATGTTAAATTTTTCACAGCTCTATGATAACTTGGAACTCTACTACCATTTTTCTTAATGATTCATTTTTGCTTTGTAACTGAACCAAAATATTTTGATCGATTACATCTTGGTTATTCTGAATAATTATATTTTCAAACAAGTCTATAGTTAACAAAACACGGTGGCATAACAAACGCACGCAATTTGACTTAAATAATTGATACATCTAACACTTTTCTGCTGTAAGCGAAATCATTTTGCGTTACACAATTTTTGTTAAAAAAATACACGCCAATTCGACACTTCACAATATAATACATAAATCACAGCTTAATTTTAAACAAACTTTTATTTATATAAACTAATTAATTTTAATATTATTTTTTTATTTTCTTTGTATTATTCTAATCATTTAGACTTTAACTGTTATTTAATTTCTTTAATTTATTATTCATATTACAAATAATGGAGCAGCTAATCAAAAGGAAATGGTTATTGATAAAGACTACGAAAATATTAAAAAAGTTTTTTTACAAAGTTTAAAATTAAATAAATATGACGATGAGATATTTAAGAAAAATGAAATACATTTCTTTAATAAAGATTTGTGGGAAAAATTACGTAATAAACGTCTACCATCTTCTCATTTTCACTGTACTTGTTCATTTAATCAAACAAAAAATAAAGAATATTTCTTGAAAAAAACATTGCGCATTTGGAATAAAAACTATGAAGACTCTGATACTAAAGATAATATCCCGTTAGTAATGAAAATTATAATAAGTAATATTAAATACAAAAATTTCTTCATATTATTTTTAGCAATTTTTTTTTTTATAATTTAGTTTCAAACATTTTTAAGAAAATACTAAATACCTGTTTTGTGCTTTTGTTGGTATATATATATATATAGGTTTCCTGTGCAATATGGTATAGTTAATGAGCCCAAGGCAATAGAACTTTTTGAGAAGAAAATGAACATAAAGATTGAAATGTGTGCCAAATTTATTGATGAAAAGATTAACTATTTAACAGCAAAACCAGATGGTATAATTGGGAAAGATGGTATTGTTGAAATAAAATGTCCAGTTAAGGCCCAATATATGACTCCCGAAAAAGCTATAAAAGATAAAGTGATAAAATATGTGCATTATAATGAGAATGAAGATCTGGTACTAAAACGTACTTCTGATACTTTTTATGAAATACAAGGAGAACTGCATATTACACAGAGGCAGTATTGTTATTTAATTATTTGGACACCAAAAGGTACTAAAAATAAAATTAGAATAAATAATAAGATACAACTAAGATTTTCTGAAATTTTTCCAAAATTTAATTTTTTTTTAGATTTTTATTTTGTTTTCATAAAAAGTGTAAATAAAATATAATATATAGTTATTATTATTATTGTACATGGCATGCTATAGACCTACATAAGATTAACAATAACACCAACAAAAATATAAATAACAATAGTAGTAATAGTAATACACGATTGATTAATATAGATAACTGATTGAACAGATGAGTAAAAAGAATGGTTATAAATAAATCTTAAGTCCTATAGGCGTGTGGTAAGATTCAATGTTTTTTGCAAAATTATAATAAAAACAATATGGGTGACTAAATTTTTTACAAATATTTAGAATATACATTTTTACAATTTTTATTTTCAAGTTGCTATTATTTTTTTCTGTGAGAATATTAATTCAATTTTACTTGTTAGTATTATAATACAGATGTTTTACTTATTTCTTTTTTAGAGACAAATTTTGTTGTCTTTTACACATTTAATTATGATCTGCAATCACAGTAACTGTTTTGCAATCGACAGAGAAAATGTAATTTCTTGAATCATTTCTTATTTCTTCTTGTGTAAATATTAGACCCATGACAAATTTTACGGTCTATGCTTAATCAATTATTAAAACACTCCATATTTAGGAAAACTAAAAACAATTTAAGTACTATTACTGAGAATTTTTGAGTTTTATATTTTTTATATTTTTAGTTTTAGATAAATAATTTTAATTTTAAAATAATAGTTTTTAATTGTATAAACAACATATATTTTTATATTAAAAATAAAAAGTAATAAATAATAATATTTTGGCTATGTTTAAAAAATGTACGTAAGGTTACTCTAAAAATAGGTCGTAAAAATACTCATTTTTTTTTATTCAGACTGCTCTATACAGTAAAAACATCAAATTATTATTTTAAAACCCTATATTTTATTTCAATATTGATTATAAAGAAATCACATTAAATTACAAAAAATATTTTTGAAAATTTAGGTTAAGATAAGCCAATTATAGGGTTCGACCACTGTGTGTCCGGCATTCCACTATTTTCGGAATATTAAATGTTGTATTTGGAATTTTAATTTGTGTTACTACATATTTTAATAACTATTAAATTATGTAATAATTTTCCCATTGACACTAGATTTGACTATAGTTGTAGTCAAAAATTACTGTACAATTTCATCCAAAAATATTTTTACTATAAATTGTTATTATTTAACTTTTTTAGGTATAGTCTATTGTAAAATTCTTCGAGATGACAAATTTTGGAACGATTATATGGAACCAAAACTTATTTACTTTTACGAAGACTTTATGTTACCGGAATTATTAAATATTCATTTAACTAAGGATCTTAATATTACGAATATTTAGCTAAAATATAATAAACTATTACACATTCATATTTAAATAAAATTAAAAAATGATTGTTAAATGTATTATTCATTAATAAAATAAAGTTAAGGGAGTTAAGCGCTTCTAAAAATAACAAAAGTCAGCGAATTCATCAATCAAAATTTTTCATCCAAAAATCATTGTATTTTTTAGAAACTCAATATTGCTAAAATATAATAAATAATATATTATTCCTAAATAATGAAATAGCATGTATCTAATTATATCACTTTTTCAATATTAAAAAACGGTAGCACAGTAGGGTCGAAGCACAATGTGTTGCGGAACAATGAAGACGCGGCATAGTTGGATCCAGTATAGATTTAATCTGACAGTGATTAAAATCACTATCATAAGAAACGATTCGATGCAAATTTGTAGGTAGTGTTTCATTTAGAGAAATTTGTGGATTATTCCAAAAGCAGCATCAACTCTTATTTCTTTGATTATATCCTGATTAGTAGTTCTTTGATTTTAAAATATTATATATGAATAAATACTAATTATAGTTTTTAAATTTAGTATGAAATTGTGATTAAATAATTGAATATTGTAATTTAAACGGAGAAATTATAAAAATAATAAAGAAGTTATATTTTANTATTAAATAATTAAATATTGTAATTTAAACGGAGAAATTATAAAAATAATAAAGAAGTTATATTTAGCTTTACTTTTACTCGTATAAAAATTTAAGGGCTTGTACAATAATTTTCAATAAAAACTGATAGTTACTATAAATAAATGCATTGGACTACAAGGAACTTTCATCAAAAACAAAAATATACTTTGCTAAATCAAATTTTCGCGTTGTTTTCAAATCTACAATTAGACTTTTTCTATCACTTCTATTTTTAGCTTTGATGCGAAGCGGAGAAGGTATTAATTTTACTATGATGTGTTTTTTTTTTTTTTTATGTCTGTTGCCACTTTTTTTCAGCTCTCACTGGACCGATTTCTTTCAAAAATACGTCAAAAGATCACAAATCGTATCTAGTTGAAGACATTACCCTTAAAAATTGAAAAAAATTCCCTCGTTCCCCGCAAATGGGGGAAATATCCAAAAAAATTACAAATTTAAAAATCGCTAATTTTCGAAATTTTTTCACTTTTTTTTCTTAAAACTTCCATAACTTTTTGAAAAATCAACAAATCAACATAATTTTTTTTTATACTAAAACCTTAGATATTTACCTTTCATTTGATATCATTTTTTTGAAAATCTATCACTTAACCTGCTCATTGGGGGGGATTTAAAATGGCAACTTTTTTACAAAAATTAATTTTTTCAACTTAATTTTTGAAAATGTTCCGGAAAGACTGCGTCCTTTAAACATATATCAAATTAAAGCTTATTTTATGTACTACAAAATGAAAAAAAAAAATTTGTCCCGACACTTTTTTTTCTACATTTAAACGGCTGCCGTAGTTAAAAAAACACTATTTTTGTGTTAAAATTTTCGATTTTCGATTTTAAATTTTCAACTTAAAAATGCTATAACTTTTTGAAAAATGTATATATCAGCACAAATTTTTTTTTTCTAAATACATTATAAGTACATCTTTCATTTGACATACTTTTTATTAAAATTGGACAATTTCCCCTTATATAGGGGGCGTTCAAAACTTAAAATATTGTAAAAAACATAGATCTTTTTCAACTGAACTTTTGAAAATGTTCCGGAAATACTGCGTCCTTTAAACATATATCAAATCAAAGGTTATGTTATATACTATCAAATGAAAAAAAAAAATTTGTCCCGACATCTTATCTTCTATGTGCAAATGGCTGTCGAAAATTTAAAAAAAAATGTAATGTTTGCGATAAAAATTACATTTTATCGGGATGTTTTTTGTACTTAAAACTGCCATAACTTTTTCAAAAATGAACAAATAAAAATAATATTTTTTTGTATTGAAACCTTAGATATTTCCCTTTCATTTGATATAATTTTTTTTGAAAATCTAACACTTATTCTGCTCACTGGGAGGATTTAAAATAGTAACTTTTTTACAAAAAATAACTTTTTCAACTTAATTTTTGAAAATGTTCCGGAAATACTGCGTCCTTTAAACATATATAAAATTAAAGCTTATTTTATGTACTATAAAATGAAAAAAAAAAATTTGTCCCGACGATCTATCTTCTATACGCAAATGGCTACCATATTGAAAAATATACTATTTTTGTATGATAATTATGGGTTTTGTATTTTATTTTAATAGAAGTTGATGTTGCTTTTGCAATTATCCATCAATTTTTTAAAATTAAACACTATCTACAGATTTGCATCGAAGCGTTTCTTATGATAGTGATTTTAATCACTGTCAGATTAAATCTATACTGGACCCTACTATGCAATGTCTCCACTATGCCGTGACCCAACTGTGCTACCGTTTTTTTTATATTATTACTAATTACATATAAAATAATAATTAAAATAAAAAAAGAATTTGTTTTCAAATTATTACTGATTTGATTTTTAATATGTTAAAACTAATAATTTTTAACCTTCTTTATTTCGTCCTTTAAAGTGAAAGTTTATAATAAAAAAAATTGAATATGTTACCATAACTTTTAGCTCAATTTCAACTTGTAATTTGCATCATTAAAATGAAAATTTTATGAGAATTAAAACTATGCTATTTTTAAGACTAATATGCAGTTAGGAAATTTTATAATTACTATTTACTATATATTTCGCACCCCTAGATCTAAACTGTTGCAACTCAAAAATGCGATTTTTGAGATAATGTTCATTTTAAGATTTCTGATTCTATTATTTACATGAGAATAAAACCGTAGTAACTATATCTTGTTTGGTTTCCAATAGAAAGCGCTAGAAGACAGTTTACTTGAATGACAGCATGCAAGTTTCATATCAGTTTTTCTTGAATTGTGAAAACAGTTTAGATCGAGGGGTGCGAATTATCAGAAAATCTCATTATTTTTTTTGCATCTTTATCGTAATAAAACACTTAAATAGAAATTATAGTAATAATTTCTAAGTAATTTTTGGTATTTAAAAATATTCTACAATTGAAATATCCAGAACTGAATTAATTTTAATGATTTACTTTAACTAAATAAAAAATGTTATTATTTTGAATCCCTCTTGTGGGCAGGTAAAGGGTTAGATTTATAAAAAAAAAACCAAATGATAGATAAAGACATGCATCTAAATAAAAAAAAATATACTGATTTGGTCATTTTTGATAAAGTTATAACAGTTAACAAAGTTATAAGTTTTATACACTGTACTAAAAGGAACTTCCATTAGAAACAAAAATATACTATTCTAAATCAACTTTTC